TAGTGTAGTCTTTGTTCACTTCACAAAAAAAAGGAAATAAATAAACACTTTTGAAAACTTCTGTATTCATTCTTTTCCTGCTTTGTGTGTCAACGTTCACGGTTGCTAAGCAACAGAGCATATGGCGGTAAAACCCGCCGAAGGGTAGACCTGGTCGAATTCACAGCCAAAACTCTTCCGGTCTCCTTATTTTCAAGGACTTCGAAGGATCCAGTCTAGGTAGACCGCGTCCTTGGAGGACACGTCCTAGGTTTTCGAACAGAGCCTACGTCTATTATGCAAATATTTTGTATAGTAGTCTAGATGGGATACATGATAATTTTACCCAGAGGAACATTAATTTATGGAAGACCAGTACTTACTGCATTTTACCAGGCTAGTAGTTGTGTGTTGACTGAGATTTCAGAGTTGTTTAAAAGATCTAAAGAACAAGTACCGGTAAAAGTAAAAATACAGTACAAGAAAGTAAAACTCACTGATAAGAAAAGTTTTTCTACAAAAATCGCTAAATTGCTCAAAAATAATTAGGAAAGTAAAGCATAGAACACACACTATTTATATAAATATAAAAAAAAAGCAACAAAGCAAAATTGTTCTCTTTTTGATCTCTAAGATCATTAAGTTGAGAACAATGGATGTAGACTTTCCAGGGAATGCCATTTAGTTGCAGAAAGGAGAAGGTACCACAAAATGTATGTCCATTGCAAATCATCCATCTTCTCCTGTTTTTCAGTCAGGGTCATGATGGGGCCTATTGAAAACACATCCCATGTCCTCTGTGTGTTTGATGTGAAGCATCAGAAGAGAACTGGTTCAATAAGTTGAAATCCAACACTTTTTTTGATACCAAGATGTTTGTAGAGATCCCATTACAAACCCAAAGGGCAAGACCAGCCCAATAATGTGATCTGACTCTCACAATCAAATTTAAACGTTGAAGCTTCACCTTAGACATCACCTATATCCTGCTTTTTTCTTTCCCCAATTCGGCTGAGGAAGGATTATCTTTGTAAACATGCAGCAAACCCTATATCTGAGCCTTCCTCAGTGATGTAAATCCCTCGGCCATAAAACCCCCAGCTGTAGGGGGCTTCCTTATGGGTCATAAAACAGAGAAGTTGAGGAGGATAAAGTCAACATCACATTTAAGTCCTTACACACAAATAATGGAGTAACTAATACAAAATTATTCAATACATTTTCTTAGTATGCTAATCTTTCTACATGAGGTTAGATGAATTCATATGAGAGTACATATGTTAAAATCCAACAGGCTTATCTAGCAGCCTGTGGGGGAAAGGCTGGGTACATCTTGGATAGGTCCCCAGTCCCTTGCAGTGCAACGTAGAGACAAACAACCTCAAACACACACCAAAGGGCAATTTAGAGACACTAGTTAACCAAATGCTCAAAAACCCACACAGGCACAGAGAGAATATGCAAACTCCATGCACACCCTAGCCAGTAAAAGATCTTCTTGCTCCAAGGCAACACCGCTACTAAATGCTCCACCATGCAGCCCGTGTTACACATCAGTACAACCAAAAAGCCATAGAATTAATTGTCTCTCTGACTATGCTTTCCATCTGCTAGGTGTCAGGGCTCTGTGTTTCTGTGCTCTGTTTACTCTCTTCCACAGTTGGTTGTTGCTGACAGGTTGGCGTGGCCCCGGACTTGCTGCTCGTTGAGACTGCTCAGCGGAGCTGAAGAGGAGCGTTCAGTCAGCTGAAGGACGCCACAGTGTTAAACCGTTACCTAGGCCTCTGTGCAGTCGACAGATCTCTGAAACCTGATGTTTTGGATTTCTGATTCTAACCTGTCTCCTGTCTCCCTCAGTTCGTTGAGCTCTGGGTTGCTCACCTGCCTGTCTCTGTGCTCTGAGGACTGGCCTCTGAATCCATGCTGCTCAGATTCTGCTCTGGCATTCCCCTCGGTACTACCAAGTCAGACAAGAGATACTTTTCCTGGATTCACACTGGTTCCTTCAGCTGCTCCTCAAACCTGCCTTCCCTGCAGTGCTGCTCGGGCCCCCCTACCTACAGTAAGTCCCACCTGTCGCTCAGGTGGCTGAGCGACAGGTGGGACCCTGTTACTCAGTAAATAAGCTGGTTGATCATTTCCATTCTAAAGTTGGAGGCATCATCAATTCCATTGTTCCATCTTTGAGGTTGTTGTTTTGGTTTTTTTTTTTGTTTTTTTGTAGGATAATTGTATGATAAAGATAGCAGGATGCTTACCAGTAACACACCCCTACTCCCTATTGGAAGTTGCTAAAATTTGTGCATTGTTTCATACTCCTGCTAATACAGAAGTTGTTTTGGTGATACAACTCAAAGATTGAATACATTTCAGAGTACCTTGTTAAGAGTCTTAGCAAGAATCTACAGGGATTTGTCAGGTTCTGTAACAGCCTGCAAAAAGTCATTTCAAAACAATGCCAAAAGATCTTGCTAAGACCACAGGAAGGCTTTCCTACTTGCAAAACCTTGCATGCTTCGTGTGAACGCAAAGCACAGGACTTTCCACTTATCAGTTTATTTATTCATCCAATGAGAGCTTTGATCGTCTCATACATGAAAAACAAGAATAGAGTGGGCGCTGGTTGGAAATGGACACTTCACTCACGCTCCCCGTGTTTCACGAATTGCGTGAAAAACATGTGACTACTATAGCCACTGGGTGGCAGTCTAAGTCCATTTCAGCGTCCCATAAGTCAGGATTTGATAGCTCAAGTAGCAGACTGGGAGGGGTGTCACATGTTGCGAGCTGATAGCGTAGAGGGTAAGCTGAATAGCTGCGATTCAAAGGGTTGCGGGTTCGGTCCCAGTTGTGGTTGAGTTTATTATTGTTGCCTTAAATGTTTTTCTTTTTTTTATTACATTAGACCATAGGGATTATCATTCTACAGCCTCAACATCTTACTCTGATAATAACAGGCGTATTGTTATACTGTTTTTGTGTGTTATTATTTATTATTATCATTATCATTACATAGTTTCCAGTGATGGGCAGTAGCGCCGCTACATGTAGCGAAGCTATTAGTTTAAGACCGCCCCCTTGGCATTACCCCTTCACAATGGAGTGTCACTCCCAGTAAAGTCACACTTGCAGCTGTTAAGGGTTCTTTGATTGAAAGTTGAGGGTATAAATGAGGATGGAATGCCCTCTTGCCTCCACTGGAAAAATGAAATTAGTTGTTGCTATGGCAACACAGACATCATGTGCATGTCTGTAGCTTTATGGAGCAGTTTGCAAAGCTGTCCACTCATATATTGGGAATGGGGACAGTTGCAACATTTGACATACTCCTGTCAACTTTATGTCACTTCCTTTATATTAGGCTTTTACATCTTGCAACTGTATGGGTTTTTATTATAATTTATTATAATAAAAAAATTTATGTGACTAGATTTTCAGCTGGAAAATATATTTCCTATACATTTTGTTTTTCATTGATGTGTTAAAAGTGTTATACATAGCTTTGTTCATAAAGTTCATTGTAAAAACTTGCCCTAATTTCCAGAGAGGTACCTTGATGGGGAGAAACTTCACCTCATATCTGTGACAACAGCCTTTATAGGCCTATATGTTGCCAAAACCATTATTTCAATACGTTTTCTGGATGTTGTAACCCCCCCTCCACTCAGACTTGACCCATGTTGGCTGTTTTCATAACTCCTCCAAGGCTGGTAGCGCTGCTTCTTTCTAACCCTGATGATTTACTATACCTTTGTTGAGATTTGGTAACTTTTGGTAAAGCATATTTAGGATGGTTTTCTTAATTGAACCACAAATGGACATGACTGTGCTGGTGCTCTTCAATCAGCAACTGCTTATTCTTGTTTGGTCACAAAATTCAAACAAACTCAGTAGCTCTGCAACTTAACTCATAAAATGTCAGATGTCCTGGTGTCTTCTAGCTGTAGACGTACATGCTGCTTGTTTACTGACATAAAGATCGAGTTGTTGAAAGAAAATTGGCTCGATTTCTGATAAAGGAGCTGAGACAGAGTGCTACTAGTCTGGAAGATCTCGTCCCTCTATTTTTGTCAGTCAGATTAACCATAAAAACTGACAGAATGTTTATGCAGCTCTTTATCCCATAGTGCAGCAGTATACGTAACAACAATGGTGCATATACTGCTATACAAAATGACTGTTTTATCTATCATGGTGGAAAAAAAAGAAGAACTTTTAAGGGGGATTTAACTGAAGATATAAGTGAAGTACTATCAATAAACTTTAAGATTGCAGAGTTTAATAAAAAGCTAGCATCTGAAGTTCTCCAATACCGCATTACTGGTCGTATCAGTGGAATTATATTTTTCTAGAGACTGTGAAGGACCCACCGTTTATGTAATAGAATATAATCTACGTTGGGAAATGCATTCTTTTTTATTAAGCAGACGAAAGTATGCTGATTGGTTTCTAGTTGAATTTATATAGGCTGTGACTTGCCTTAAAAAAGGCAGTTTTACTATCACAGGGGAATATTCCTGCACTAACATTTAGACCAGAAACTGACCTTTAGAGAAAAACTTTCCCTTGAGGATTCTTTGTGAAAGTTAGGGATAAATTTTAGGCAAACTAATAATATAAAAAAGAACTTTTTTTTTTTTTTTTATAAGTAGGAACTAACGTAAAATGACCAAGTTGCTTCTCAAATGACCAAAGTTTAAACAACTGTTACTCTCTTGTTAAAAGTTACAAATAATCCGTAGATAAAACAGGCGGATCGCTGATTTCTGTAGTTTTAATCAAACATTAGATTCTGAAAAAGAAATTACAGCAAAAACTGTTCCGACCAACATTTCCGGAGTGAATATTACAAAACAGGAGTTGCAATACAAAACAATTAAAAAGGCAAAATACTTCAATTCAAATAGTTCAATAATACACATTCAAACAGCAAAACCCGACAGAGAAAATAGCAGAAAATTACAAAAACCTAACAGATTGAAAATCCAACAATCAGCGTTAACCATCACCAATAAGTCTTTTCAGACCTCTGCATGCCACTGGGAGGGTTCCAGGGATCCTGTGACCTTGAAGGTAATCCCGTCTCCAGGGAGCGGTGATGCGATGAGCGGGGAGAGCCAGCAGATGTACCAGCGAAGGCCCAACATGTGCCTCAGGTTGCCGAGGAGACCCAGGTTGTACGGGCGGCGAGACGAGTTCCACTCCCTGGTGGTCTGACCTCGAAACAGCAGGAATAGGTGGAAGAAGAAGAAGGCGGAGACGCGCAGGAAACACCGCGGTGATTCAGGGGGTCCAGTGGGGGGTACTCCGGGAGTAAGGAGTACATGCCCTTTAATAGGGGCTGTTAGGTCTCTGTATGACCGGTGTCAGAGCCTGGTCCGCATTGCTGGCAGTAAGTCGGACTCGTTTCTGGTGAGGGTTGGACTCCGCCAAGGTTGTCCTTTGTCACCGATTCTGTTCATAACTTTTATGGACAGAATTTCTAGGCGCAGCCAAGGTGTTAAGGGGATCTGTCTTGGTGGCCTTAGGATTGCATCTCTGTTATTTGCAGATGATGTGGTTCTGTTGGCTTCATCAGGGCGTGATCTACAGCTCTCTTGAGCGGTTCACAGCCGAGTATGAAGTGGCCGGGATGAGGAGCAGTGCCTCTAAATCCGAGACCATGGTCCTGAGCCTTAAAAGGGTAGAGTGCCTTCTCCGGGTTGGGGAGGATGTACTGCCCCTAATGGAGGAGTTAAAGTATCTTGGGGTCTTGTTCACGAAAGAGGGGAAGATGGAGCGGGAGATCGACAGGCAGATTGGTGCGGCGTCTGCTGTGAAGCGTGCGCTATACTGGTCTGTGGTGGTGAAGACAGAGCTGAGCCAACAGCAAAGCTCTCGATTTACCGGTCGATCTACATTCCTACCCTCATCTATGGTCATGAGCTTTGGGTCCAGGACACAAGTGGCTGAAATGAGTTTTCTCCGTAGTATGTCTGGGCTCTCCGTTAGAGATAGGGTGAGGAGCTCGGTCGTCCGGAGAGGACTCAGAGTAGAGCCGCTGCTCCTCCACATCGAGAGGAGCCACTTGAGGTGGCTCTGGCATCTGATTAGGATGCCTCCTGGACGTCTTTTCCTGGTGAAGTGTCCCAGGCATGTCCCACCGGGAGGAGGTCCAGGGGGAGACCCAGGACACACTGGAGGGGCTATGTTTCACAGCTGGCCTGCGAGCGCCTTGGGATATTTCCGGAGGAGCTGGCCGAAGTGGCTGGGGAGAGGGACGTTTGGGCCTCCCTACTGAAGCTGCTACCCCCCCGACCTGACCCAGGATAAGCGGAATAAGATGGATGGATGGATGGATGGATGGATGGATGGATGGATGGATGGACATAAGCTATTACATTATCCAACTCTGTTGACATAACTGTGTCTTCTGTATTGGTCTTACTACCTTTAATGCATACAGCATGCAATCATTGTAAAAGCTAATCCTCATCTTGCAGGTGGATCTTTAGAAGGTGATGATGAATAACTATTTTTCCTTCATAAATCCATATTTGTGGCGGGTTTTTGCAAATGTGTTTGATAACCAGTGGAAACAAGGGACCTAGATGTTAAGTGCATAACAAAAATAAACTTTTTCTCAGTTGTAAGCAGTACCTCCTAATCGTGAGGAGTACCTCACGATTAGGAGGACTTGTAATGGGAAGTCAGATTGGGCGGATATAAAATGGGGTTATGTCCCATTGATTCCAACAAGATGGAAGCAGCTTTGGAGTTCTGGTTGTGAAGTTAAGCTGATGCAATTTGATGTTATTACGTGTGGAGTTTTTTTTTTTTTTTTAAGCTGAGTTGATACTAAACAGTATTGTCAAATATTTTATTTACAAAGAGAATAGAAATGAAAATTTGTTTCATAGTGATCAAGATGCATTTTACTTTTACATTTTAAGTTTTTAATACTTTTTAATTCATTTTTATATGGAAATATTAGCATTTTTGCTCAATAGCTTCCAGGTAATGTGATCAATTGACTCAAAATCAGTGTTGGATCATAATACTCCATTGTCTACAAAAGTTACGCCCTTTTTTTTTTTTTTTTTTTTTCTAATATTTTTTAAATAATTTTTATAATGAAATATTAGCATTTTTGCTCAATAGCTTCCAGGTAATGTGATCAATTGACTCAAAATCAGTGTTGGATCATAGCACTCCATCGTCTGCAAAAGTTACGCCTTTTAGTTTTACATTCTAAACTTTAAATATTTTTTTAATTCATTTTTATATGGAAATATTAGCATTTTTGCTCAATAGCTTCCAGGTAATGTGATCAATTGACTCAAAATCAGTGTTGGATCATAATACTCCATCGTCTGCAAAAGTTACGCCTTTTAGTTTTACATTCTAAACTTTTAATATTTTTTTAATTCATTTTTATATGGAAATATTAGCATTTTTGCTCAATAGCTTCCAGGTAATGTGATCAATTGACTCAAAATCAGTGTTGGATCATAATACTCTATCGTCTACAAAAGTTACGCCCTTTATTTTTTTATTTTAAATTTCTAATATTTTTTTATTAATTTTTATGTGGAAATATTAGCATTTTTGCTCAATAGCTTCCAGGGAATGTGATCAATTGACTCAAAATCAATATTGAATCATAGCACTCCATCGTCTACAAAAGTTACGCCCTTTATTTTTGCATTTTAAATTTCTAATATTTTTTAAATAATTTTTATAATGAAATATTAGCATTTTTGCTCAATAGCTTCCAGGTAATGTGATCAATTGACTCAAAATCAATATTGAATCATAGCACTCCATCGTCTGCAAAAGTTACGCCCTTTATTTTTACATTTTAAGTTTTTAGTATTTTTTTTATTAATTTTTATAATGAAATATTAGCATTTTTGCTCAATAGCTTCCAGGTAATGTGATCAATTGACTCAAAATCAGTGTTGGATCATAATACTCCATCGTCTACAAAAGTTACGCCCTTTATTTTTTTATTTTAAATTTCTAATATTTTTTATTAACTTTGATGTGGAAATATTAGCATTTTTGCTCAATAGCTTCCAGGGAATGTGATCAATTGACTCAAAATCAATATTGAATCATAGCACTCCATCGTCTGCAAAAGTTACGCCCTTTATTTTTACATTTTAAGTTTTTAGTATTTTTTTTATTAATTTTTATAATGAAATATTAGCATTTTTGCTCAATAGCTTCCAGGTAATGTGATCAATTGACTCAAAATCAGTGTTGGATCATAATACTCCATCGTCTACAAAAGTTACGCCCTTTATTTTTTTATTTTAAATTTCAAATATTTTTTTATTAATTTTTATGTGGAAATATTAGCATTTTTGCTCAATAGCTTCCAGGGAATGTGATCAATTGACTCAAAATCAATATTGAATCATAGCACTCCATCGTCTACAAAAGTTACGCCCTTTATTTTTACATTTTAAGTTTTTAATATTTTTTTAATTCATTTTTATATGGAAATATTAGCATTTTTGCTCAATAGCTTCCAGGTAATGTGATCAATTGACTCAAAATCAGTGTTGGATCATAATACTCCATCGTCTGCAAAAGTTACGCCTTTTAGTTTTACATTCTAAACTTTTAATATTTTTTTAATTCATTTTTATATGGAAATATTAGCATTTTTGCTCAATAGCTTCCAGGTAATGTGATCAATTGACTCAAAATCAGTGTTGGATCATAATACTCTATCGTCTACAAAAGTTACGCCCTTTATTTTTTTATTTTAAATTTCTAATATTTTTTTATTAATTTTTATGTGGAAATATTAGCATTTTTGCTCAATAGCTTCCAGGGAATGTGATCAATTGACTCAAAATCAATATTGAATCATAGCACTCCATCGTCTACAAAAGTTACGCCCTTTATTTTTGCATTTTAAATTTCTAATATTTTTTAAATAATTTTTATAATGAAATATTAGCATTTTTGCTCAATAGCTTCCAGGTAATGTGATCAATTGACTCAAAATCAATATTGAATCATAGCACTCCATCGTCTGCAAAAGTTACGCCCTTTATTTTTACATTTTAAGTTTTTAGTATTTTTTTTATTAATTTTTATAATGAAATATTAGCATTTTTGCTCAATAGCTTCCAGGTAATGTGATCAATTGACTCAAAATCAGTGTTGGATCATAATACTCCATCGTCTACAAAAGTTACGCCCTTTATTTTTTTATTTTAAATTTCTAATATTTTTTATTAACTTTGATGTGGAAATATTAGCATTTTTGCTCAATAGCTTCCAGGGAATGTGATCAATTGACTCAAAATCAATATTGAATCATAGCACTCCATCGTCTGCAAAAGTTACGCCCTTTATTTTTACATTTTAAGTTTTTAGTATTTTTTTTATTAATTTTTATAATGAAATATTAGCATTTTTGCTCAATAGCTTCCAGGTAATGTGATCAATTGACTCAAAATCAGTGTTGGATCATAATACTCCATCGTCTACAAAAGTTACGCCCTTTATTTTTTTATTTTAAATTTCAAATATTTTTTTATTAATTTTTATGTGGAAATATTAGCATTTTTGCTCAATAGCTTCCAGGGAATGTGATCAATTGACTCAAAATCAATATTGAATCATAGCACTCCATCGTCTACAAAAGTTACGCCCTTTATTTTTACATTTTAAGTTTTTAATATTTTTTTATTAATTTTTATAATGAAATATTAGCATTTTTGCTCAATAGCTTCCAGGTAATGTGATCAATTGACTCAAAATCAATATTGAATCATAGCACTCCATCGTCTACAAAAGTTACGCCCCTTATTTTTTCATTTTAAATTTCTAATTTTTTTTATTAATTTTTATGTGGAAATATTAGCATTTTTGCTCAATAGTTTCCAGGTAATGTGATCAATTGACTCAAAATCAATATTGAATCATAGCACTCCATCGTCTGCAAAAGTTACGCCCTTTATTTTTACATTTTAAGTTTTTAATATTTTTTTATTAATTTCTATGTGGAAATATTAGCATTTTTGCTCAATAGTTTCCAGGTAATGTGATCAATTGACTCAAAATCAATATTGAATCATAGCACTCCATCGTCTGCAAAAGTTACGCCCTTTATTTTTACATTTTAAGTTTTTAATATTTTTTTATTAATTTTTATAATGAAACATTAGCATTTTTGCTCAATAGCTTCCAGGTAATGTGATCAATTGACTCAAAATCAATATTGAATCATAGCACTCCATCATCTGCAAAAGTTACGCCCTTTATTATTACATTTTAAATTTCTAATATTTTTTTATTAATTTTTATAATGAAATATTAGCATTTTTGCTCAATAGCTTCCAGGTAATGTGATCAATTGACTCAAAATCAATATTGAATCATAGCACTCCATCGTCTACAAAAGTTACGCCCCTTATTTTTTCATTTTAAATTTCTAATTTTTTTTATAAATTTTTATGTGGAAATATTAGCATTTTTGCTCAATAGTTTCCAGGTAATGTGATCAATTGACTCAAAATCAATATTGAATCATAGCACTCCATCGTCTGCAAAAGTTACGCCCTTTATTTTTACATTTTAAGTTTTTAATATTTTTTTATTAATTTCTATGTGGAAATATTAGCATTTTTGCTCAATAGTTTTTAGGTAATGTGATCAATTGACTCAAAATCAATATTGAATCATAGCACTCCATCGTCTGCAAAAGTTACGCCCTTTATTTTTACATTTTAAGTTTTTAATATTTTTTTTATTAATTTTTATAATGAAATATTAGCATTTTTGCTCAATAGCTTCCAGGTAATGTGATCAATTGACTCAAAATCAATATTGAATCATAGCACTCCATCATCTGCAAAAGTTACGCCCTTTATTTTTACATTTTAAATTTCTAATATTTTTTTATTAATTTTTATAATGAAATATTAGCATTTTTGCTCAATTGCTTCCAGGTATCTATGTGTAGATATTGGCAGTTTTGCTGAATACGTTCCAGTTTCTGTGATGGATTGACACAAAATTTATGAGAAATCATGGTACTAGACTGGTTTAATGAGATACAGCATTTAGTTTAAATATGAAATCTCTAAATATGTATAATGTTTTTGTAAATACAACAAATATAAATATTCTAGTTTGACAGCTTCTGGGCTTCAAAATCTAAGCCTACAGTTTTATTTTGAAAACAGGAAGTTGGTACACAATGTAGCCGTTTTCACTCGCCGTGAAATTTACTGCAAAGTCTCTAATAAGGGTGCACTGGAAGTGTTGGAGCGGCTTCCTCCGATCGCAGTGTACCCGGAGAAAAGGAGAGGTTTTCCCGTGGGGGAGAAGAGAATTAACCGGAGGAAGAAGCGGTTTGAATGTCTGTCGAATATCCAACGTTAAACTAACTTCACCGCGGTGCAGAACTAACCACACACGTGTCAGCGATGTAGGCAAAGGCGAAGGCCCGCGCCGAGACCTGGCCTAAGAAAAAAACTCATATTAATATAATTTGTATTTAAATTATTTGTACAGAAAAATAAGTTTAAAGTCATTGGAAGCAAATCTAACTGAAACTTTAAAGTAACCTGAAACCAGTAGTGATGGGCTATCTGAAGCCAGGCTTCGAGGCTTGTACCGAGTAATAAGGGGGCGTGTCAATGAAGCCCCGCTTCGAGGCCTGTGTTGTAGAGGTGGGCGGATCGATCCCAGGATCGATACTATCGATACCAACGCTGGTATTTATATTGAACAATATTCGTTTAACAAGATCGATACTTTTTATCCTCTCTCGCGCGCGCTGACTGCTGCGGAGTCACCAGTTTCCCCATATGTGTAACAGCACTTTGCTCCCCCTCCCCTCTCCTACAGTCACATGGCTCAGCGGCGCCAGCCAATCAGCGCGCAGGCTTAGCTTGGCCTGCCCACTCAGCACTACGTCACACAGACAACCGCGCTGCCGGTTGCTGGGTGAGTGCTCACTCAGACTTGGATGGAGAGAGAGACCAAAGACCCGCCTCCAGCCTCAGACAGACATCTTTGACCCAAGCGTTTCAGTCCTCCAGAGAATATCCAGGTAGATAACAGTGGTCATCGTCTGCAGCACTTCATTATACATCATATATTACTCAGACAGTGTAGTTAAGACCTTGAAAAAACCCAGTACATTTATCCCATTAAAAATTGTTAGCTAAAATAAGCTAACATTAGATAATCTCTTATTTATTCCACGATTGAGAACTTTATAGAAAAAAAGCAACAGGCAAGTGCAGCTTAAATGTAAAAAGTATCGGTATCGGTATCGATATCGGCGATACTGACCCAGTATTTACTTGGTATCGGATCGATTAAAAAATCCCGGTATCGCCCACCTCTACTGTGTTGTCTTGTTGAAAACCACGTGACTGGCAACAAACGAGGCCTCGCATTGCATTGGTCACGTGACTGCTTCATTTTGCGTGTCGGTTTTCAAAATAAAAGCGCGATGAATCCTGTTTATCGTGGGTTGTAGTAGGTGGTTTAGTATCAGCAGAACTGTTTTCATCAGCAGTGGTTGAAATGGAGCTGTCAAAAAAGAGAAAAACCTCTCATATGTGGGAGTATTATGAGATGACAGATCACAATCACAACCTGAAACAGTGAAAAAAGTCCTATTCCTAAATAAAAACAATTAAACCTAAAATCCAGAAATTTCTATATTTTCTTTTGTTTAATCAGGAGATGCATCAGAATCACACATCAAAACCAGACGAAAAGCCATTAGAAGAGGCAAACTCTATGTGTAACTTAATATTAAGAATCAGAACTAGAACTCCTAGGAAGAGATGATTTTAAACAAATTCTGTCTTTAAGGAAGCAAGTTTCAAGCTCAAAGTATACAGAGTCTGCAGCAACAGTCACTCAGTTCTCAATACATTAAAGTAACACATATCTTCATTGTCTAATAAGTCCATGACATAAAAGAAAACCACTGATGGTCAAGGATTAGATTGGCTACAAATCATTTTAATCATTAAAACATGATAATTAAATAGGATTCTCCTCTTACTAAACATGAGTTTGATGAAAACTTTGTGACAATATTGCATTTCCTGATATTTGGAAGTATGATCCAACTGAGTAACAAGGCTTTTACAGTTTCACCAGCAGATGTCACTAGTGAGAGATGAATGAAGCATCGAGTAATGAACTTTTTTCAACACTTTGCGTTGGAAAGCTTCATTGCTTCATGAGGCTTCACTTGCCCATCACTAGAAACCAGCATGATCCAGGGTACGAGCAGCAGCAGGATGCTGTGCAGAGTCACGCCCTCCTTTAGGACGTCTATGAACATAGATATCCATAATAAAGGCTAGATGTCTCGTCCGCGCTGCTGGCCAATGGGGGTCGACGTCCGCACGTGGCGGCCATCTTGCCACAGGCAGCTCGCTCATTCGTAACATTGTGTTTTAAAGGCGCATGTACTTAAATAACCATAACTTCCTCAATTGTCTAACTGTTTGGTTTGTTAAACAAAAGTCAGACATGTAGTTATGACACTGCACACTTAACCATGGAATTTCATATGAAAAGAACATTGAATAGAACATACAGGTGCAATAAATATACACATGCACAAGGTATTTATGTTAAATCAATATATGCTATTAAAACTCAGTGTACTGAATGGCAACATGATATATAGATATATCTATATCTATATAGATAGATATCTATATAGATGCCTATATATATATAAATATGTATATATATATATAAATATGTATAAATACATATTTATATATATATATTTTAATATGTATATATATATATTTTAATATGTATATATATATATATACATATATATATATATATAAATATATATATATAAATATGTATATATATATATATAAAAATATGTATATATATATATATATATATATATACACATATTTATATATATATATACACATATTTATATATATATATACATATATATATAAATAAACACTTTTATTTGGGTGTGATTAATTATTTCACAGTCCTAATTTATTTATATTTACATACATACTTTTATAATATGAATATTATTGTTATAATAAAATATGAAATACTGACAAAAAAGGCTTATTGTGTGGCAACCTCTTGGTGTAGAAGCATAATCCAGGTTTCATATTAAAGGTAACACTTTGAAGTTTCATGTAGACTATTTGGATTATGTATCAGGGGTAATTACACAAAAGTTCCTATTTTTAAACCATTATAAAAGTGACATTTATTTGTTATTAAAATTGGTGCAATAGTCCCCTTCACAAGTATATATAGATGTAGCATGTTGAAATCCCCACCTACACTACTGTGATGGTATACACATGGAAGACAGAGATTTAAAAAATGACCCAAAAAACATAGCTTGGCTAATGCCCTTTGAAAAGGACGGTTTTATTGAGCTTCTGTGTAATGTACAAGAGACAGTTGTCCACAAGGCCATCAAAGCGGACAGGAAGGTAGCTGTGGTCATGTACTAGCGCAGGAATGTCAGCAAACGGGGATGGAAGATCTTCTCCTCCTGCTTACACATTATATAACCTGCAGAAACAAAAACAAAAGTGACCAACAACAATTCACGGTGTATAAGATTGGTATATCAATATGTGATTAAATTTCAATGATACACATACCCTTTGAAGATGAGCTGGAAAGTTGAAAATGTTTGGCACAACACCATCTTTAAGTTGTCCAAATGAAACTAATACAAACTTATAAAAGCTTTGAGTCAACAACAATCTTGTAATACTATTATGTCATAGCAAAAGTCTGGCATCTTCCTTTTAATAAACACAGCAAATTCCTGTAACATAATGTAAGATGTGTTGACAAACGAAATCGATTGGAAATCATGTTAAATTCTGCCTCTTCCACTGATGTAAAGTTGCTTGTTAACGTTAGCAGCTAGCTAAACTGTAACATTAGCTGCTAACTTACTAACGTTAGGTCTCACTTCGCAGCTTCTTGTTATTAGCCAGCTAACGTTAGGCTAATAATGAAAATACAACAACACTCAGATTATTGTTATTAGCCAACTAATAACTACAACCACATCCACAAAGATTGTAATTTACACCAAAGATTAATTGTCATACAATCGTTATTGGTGTCAGTAAAACCTATATAATTGACTAATAATCTCAGCCTTGATAACTTGCGCAAGTAGCCGTGATGCACAACTATGCTGCGCGATTAAGTCATTTTTCGACAAGAAAATCTGCAATTTCGACATGTTCAAGCATCAAGAATAATAGCCACGTTCATAATGTTTGTAAGAAACCAAACTGTTTGTAAATCCGTCAAGAATTCCGTGAGGTAAGAGTATTTGTGTTCGTGCTGATCACTCACCTTACATTAGGTACCACAGAGCACAACAGAAAGCCTGCCTGAGGCAAGATGGCCGCCGGTGATGACGTTTGAGACTCCGCCGTAAGACATCTAGCCTTTATTATGGATATCTATGTCTATGAAGACCTCCGCATTCATCACCATGGCGTAGAGGAGCCCCGACCACACGAACAGCAAGCAGCTGAGGAAGTAGCGGTAGTTGCGGAAGCCGACGCACCGACAGAAGAAGACGCAGTGGTGATCCCGCCGCAGGACGCAGACCTTGCAGTCGTAGCAGTGGGAGCAGCGTGGAGGGGTGTGTGTCTCACAGGTGTAACAATACCTGTGTACAAAAAGTCACAAAACATTCTCTGATCCTGAAGATGTCACTGCTATTTGTTAGAATAAGTGGGGAAAGAGAGTTTCCGCTTATTTTAGGAATATAAACCTATTGTTTTTCATTAAATTTTATCCATTACCATAAATATTAGAAAAATATTCTATTTACCAAATCCAGAGATGGGAAGTAACGAAGTACAAATACTTCGTTACTGTACTCAAGTAGATTTTTCTGATATTTTTACTTTACTTTACTACTTATTTTTATGGCGATTTTTTACTTCTACTCCTTACATTTTTACACAAATATCTGTACTTTCTACTCCTTACATTTTAAAAAATTGGCTCGTTACTTTAGTTTTGAATCATTTCAATGGAGTTACCGTTATTATTTTTCACGTCATCAATACTGTGAAAACGGAGCAGTTTTCCCCCTCTGTTCCCAAAGTGTAGCCGCCGTCTATCACACACAGCATCACATCCTTCACTACATTTCCCAGCACGCACCACAGCAGTTCCAAACAATTCACCCGGTAATTCTCACTAGTTCCGAAATTACAACGTCACCTTTCATTCAACACTTTACTTACTCACCAGCGTAGCAAACTGTGAAGGTACCCACTGCGACAGCTTTAATATACATTCCGTAGTCGGCAATAAAACTTCCCAGTCAAATCTTCCCTTGGTCCGTCAGCATACTGGTCCGTGTGGAAACACGTACCGCATCGGATCCAGTCTCTTATCCATTGTCCCAGGGCATTGGAAAAGACTATTAGGGGGCAGGGGTGTTAAGTGGGATTTCAACGTATGTAATAATTGTTTGCATGGTAATAAGTAGGTGAAATGGTAATGTTAGTATGGTTAAATTATTTCATAAATATGTATGTTTTTGTATGAATGATGCTATTGTCTGTATTTATTTTTCTACAATGTTAACTGTGCTTTATTGGGGATTTGCCTTCCTGTTTAATTGGGCTGTCCCAATTGGCTGATTATTGGTGGGTCTATTTAAGGGGCACACTCCCAATGGCTTAGGGGGGCTGCTTGGAGAGACTGGTTGGAGAAACTGCTTTTGAAGGTCTGCTTAGAGAGACTATATTTAAAGTCAGCTTGCTGTGAGGTTGTCAGTGTTTTGTATTGCCTGCAACGGCCGGTTTTGTTTTCTTTATTTGAAAGTATTTTGTTTGTTTTGTTGTTTTTTTGTCTTCACCGTTGCACCAGTAAATAAACCGCTACACGCTTTTGAACTCGAATTTTGTTGTCCGCTGGTTCTTACCACCTTTTTGCAAGCCATCTGCTTACACCTCCTCTGACGTGAGACGGGAGCTGGCGAGCCGTTTTCTCACAAATACCAAATTCAATCTAATTGGATGGGAATCTACGTTGCATTTGACGCACCACTACAAGATGAATCGACAGATTCGGCGGTATTCATTCGTGGCAAATCATTGCAGCTTGGTGGCGGTGGCGTTAGCATAGTAGCATGGACGACGAGATGATTGAAAATGAACACAACGGAGATCTAGTCCTATTGGCAGACATCCATTTAAAATGTAGGCAACGGCATGAAAAAAGTGGTTTCTACTTTTACTTTTATACTTTAAGTAAATTTACAAGCCTGTACTTTGTTACTTTTACTTGAGTAAAGAAGTTTAATCAGTACTTCCACTTTTACCAGAGTATTTTCTAACACAAGTATCTGTACTTTTACTCAAGTACGGAAAGTGAGTACTTTTGCCATCTCTGACCAAATCTAATCCAAAGAATGTACCAAGACTTGAAAACATATATCATCAATGAATCCTTAAGTTTAACCAGTCTGGAGCTTATTTTTTAAAAGGCATGAAACAAAAATGTTAGTATCCAAATGCCAAAGTTTGCAGTGATACCCTGAAAGAACCATAAGTGTAACATTTTAAAATAGTTTTTAAAACTAATTTGAAAATCAAGAATCTTTTTAATTCCCTTTGTGATATGTGGGACTTCATATTCGGTATATGAAATAAAAACATCCCAAAGGAAAACATAGAAATGTGGGGGAGTAACCTGACAAAATCTGGAAAGGGTTCCAATACTTTTGAAAAGGACTTTAACGCAGCTTAAAATGGCTACATCTGAAAAATAAGAAGCTAAGTTAAATGTAAAGAAACAGTATTTTACCAAACAAACTGATATTGATTATAACCTTTAACATTAACAGAACATTCAATAAAGTATATGGACACAAAGAACATTAGCTTCATTCATTTAGCACTGTTTTACTTTAAATTATTCCAAGTAGTACAGGAACTTTTGTGATAAAATCCTTCAAAATAAAACAAAGTCCTGATATATATTCAGCCATTTGTTTTCTCCTAAGAAAAAATGTTTGGAAAAAATATATATGTTCCCTTTTAGAAGAGGAAGTTACAGTCTTAACATGTTTTGACAACAAGATGGAAAGTCCATACTTTCTTAGTAACTTTGTGAAATCATAACAAAACTAGATTTATTGCATAAACGATGATGACTTTTTCTTTTCCTTTATTAGCAGATTATAAACAACCTCAAGGTGCATACCGCCACCTACTGTACAAGGCTGTAACTTTTCAACCTCTACAAGCTAAATTCTTTTTTTCTGTTTAGTAAAAACATAAATAATACTCTCTAAGTATAAATTAGGGCTGCAACTAATTATTTTGCAAATCGAAATTCGTTTTATGAAGCAGCAAGCAGGTACCGTGAGGCCAAGCGTGTCGCGGCCCGGGCGGTTGCAGAGGCAAAATCTCGGGCCTGGGAGGAGTTTGGAGAGGCCATGGAAAAAGACTAGCGGTTGGCCTCAAAGCGATTCTGGCAAACCGTCCGGCGCCTCCGGAGGGGAAAGCAGTGCTTCGCTAACACTGTTTTTAGTGGGTGTGGGGAGCTGCTGACCTTGAAGGAGGATATTGTCGGGCGGTGGAAGGAATACTTTGAGGATCTCCTCAACCCGACAGACATGCCTTCCGTGGGGGAAGAAGAGACGAGGTGCTTGGGGCTGGGTTCGTCCATCACCCAGGCTGAAGTCACCGAGGTAGTCAAAAAACTCCACGGTGGCAAGGCTTCGGGGGTGGACGAGATCCGACCTGAGTATCTCAGAGCTCTGGATGTTGTCGGGCTGTCATGGTTGACACGTCTCTTCAACATCGCGTGGAGGTCGGGGACAGTTCCCCTGGATTGGCAGACTGGGGTGGTGGTTCCCCTCCACAAGAAAGGGGACCGGAGGGTGTGTTCCAACTATCGGGGAATCACACTTCTCAGCCTCCCCGGAAAGGCCTATGCCAGGGTGCTGGAGAGGAGAGTCCGGCTGATTGTCGAACCTCGGCTGCAGGAGGAGCAGTGTGGTTTTCGTCCTGGCCGTGGAACGGTGGACCAGCTCTACACCCTCTGTAGGGTGCTTGAGGGTTCATGGGAGTTTGCCCAACCAGTCCACATGTGTTTTGTGGACTTGGAGAAGGCATTCGACCGTGTCCCTCGTGCTGCCCTGTGGGGGGTGCTCCAGGAGTATGGAGTCAGGGGCCCTTTATTAGGGGCCATCCATTCTCTGTACAAGCGGAGCAGGAGTCTGGTTCGCATTGCCGGCATTAAGTCGGACCTGTTCCCGGTGCATGTTGGACTCCGACAGGGCTGCCCTCTGTCACCGGTCCTGTTCATAACTTTTATGGACAGGATTTCTAGGTGCAGCCAAGGACCGGAGGGGGTCTGGTTTGGGGAACAGCGGATCTCGTCCCTGCTTTTTGCGGATGACGTAGTTCTGCTGGCTCCCTCCTGCCAAGACCTACAGCGTGCGCTGGGGCGGTTCGCAGCCGAGTGTGAAGCGGCCGGGATGAGAATCAGCTCCTCCAAATCCGAGGCCATGGTTCTCGACCGGAAAAAGGTGGCTTGTCCCCTTCGGGTTGGAGGGGAGTCCTTGCCTCAAGTGGAGGAGTTCAAGTATCTTGGGGTCCTGTTCACGAGTGAGGGAAGAATGGAGCGGGAGATCGATAGACGGATCGGTGCGGCTGCTGCAATAATGCGGACGCTGCACCGGTCTGTCCTGGTGAAGAGAGAGCTGAGCGAAAAGGCAAAGCTCTCAATTTACCGGTCGGTCTACGTTCCTACCCTCACCTATGGTCATGAAATTTGGATCATGACCGAAAGAACGAGATCCCGGATACAAGCGGCTGAAATGAGCTTTCTCCGCAGGGTGGCTGGGCTCTCCCTTAGAGATAGGGTGAGGAGCTCGGTCATTCGGGAGAGGCTCAGTGTAGAGCCGGTTCTCCTCCACATCGAGAGGAGTCAGTTGAGGTGGCTCGGACATCTTCTTCGGATGCCCCCTGGACGCCTCCCTCGGGAGGTGTTCCAGGCATGTCCCACCGGGAGGAGGCCCAGGGGACGACCCAGGACACGCTGGAGAGACTATGTCTCTCGGCTGGCCTGGGAGCGCCTAGGGCTTCCCCCAACAGAGCTGGAGGAGGTGTCTGCGGAGAGGGAAGTCTGGGAGTCTCTGCTTAGTCTGCTGCCCCCGCGACCCGGTTCCGGATAAAGCGGGAGACGACGAGTACGAGTACGAGAAATTCGTTTTATCGAATCGATTAATCTGTCGATAATTTTTTAGATTAATCAAAAAATAGCCAAAGGTTCCTAAAAGAATATTTTTTTACTAAGTTAAACCACGTGAAACAATTTTTTTTTCCACTATGGAGCATACTGACGGATGAAAAAGATTTTTTTTTTTATCTTAAATACAAAATGTTTAGATAATTTTGATATAATTACTGCTCTATGTGGGTTGCTCTTTCAGCTAAAGCCACATTTTAGAGTCTCTATACTCCTGTTAACTATTTATTGATTATTAAATTAGGTTGGCGATTATTTCTATAATTGATTAATCATTAAATATTTCAGCCCTACTATAAATATCTTTGTTCAATCCTGAACCTAAAATTCCTTCCAACTCTATTCCTACCCTGCATTCTGCATATTTTCCTTTAACTCCCTTCTCTCATC